AAAGAAGCTTAAGTCGAGATATATGGGACCATATCCCATTGTGGAGCGGATTGGTAGCAGTGGCTTACAAATTGCAGTTATCAGCTGAGTTGTTAGATTTTCATGACGTGTTACATGTGTCAGTATTGAGGAAGGTCGTGGGAGAGCCAGAGCTCTTTTTGTAGCAGCACCACCATGCGATCTCGGTAAAATTTGTCTGCACCTATTCAGTCAGTTGAGATTTTGGAACGGCAAGGTTCGTTGGGAGAGAGAGGAAATCTAGGAGGAGACCTAGGAGACCGAGACTTAGATGAGGATAGATATCCAGAGCTGCTTCAGGATGGTATTGGACAGTGGGTTTATGAAACGAATTCGATGACGAATTCCTTCTAACTAGGGGAGAATTGTGACGACCCAAAACTCAGTCCAGTTATTTCGGCCTAGCTAGGCCCAGTAGGATTGAAGAAAATCCTTTTTTTTCTTATTTAAAGAAGGATTTCGTGGTGGCATTTGACAGATATCTTTGACTCTTTGTAGTGGCGAAACCCTGCCGTAATGTTGCCGGATCAGCCACCAATAGCCGCCACAAAAGAAAAGTCATCACACCATCTAAAAAGAGAGATTAAGGTTCAGCAGACATGTTTTGAAAGAACAGAGAAACGATTGATCAAACACAAGAATTTTGAAGCCAAATTTTCAAAGTTATGTTCTACATTCATATATCTATCTATATCAGAAAACGGATCATCATTTGGAATTTTTATCTAAGATTTCTGATTATTTCTTCGGGACTTATTTCTGCAGATCGGATCTACCAGCAGTCAACTTCATCAGTATGTTCCTGTTGATCCAGAATAAACCAGGAAACGAGCGAGATATCATTGGAAATATCTTGATGTCAGCTTTCTATATCATCTTTCCGATCGTGAAACAAATGTACAGTTAGAAAGTTATTGACATTTCTTCTTGGCGATAATTAAGTTGTTGTGTTGCAGAATTAGTTCAGACTAGTTTTGGTGCAAGTGAGGAAAGGTCAATAGTATCAAAATATTTCAGACTGGAAATTTTTCAGTAAGTAACTAGTTCTTTTATCTATCATCTCCATCAAGCGGATTGTCATTTCGAATTATTTTCTGAGAGTTATGCTTATCTTCGTGAAAGGTGTTGGTGTAGTCTGCGTTTGCGACCAACTTGGAGGCTAGGCTATTTTGACTAATCAAACGGTGTCTGATCGGCATAAACTCGGTGGCTACAGGCAGAGGACGACTAGGATTATATTATGACCGGATGGATCGAAAAGCTAACGGTCAGTTTTTAAGTTATTCATCTGATTTATCTAGAGTTCAGTTCTGCCAGAATCTTCACATTCATCTATTTTCAGAGAGTTCCGGAGTTGCTGTTTTTAGAGCCATCAGGGTCATTCAGTGTTTTCTCAGATTTTCTTCAGAACCCGTGGCAAAGGTGAGGGACTAATCCGTAATTCCCGTACCAGTATAGAATTCTTCCTATCGTAGTTTAGATTTCGAAGTATGATCCGTCTGTTTGAATTGAGTCTGTTTGAGTCTTGATTGCTAGTTAGTTGATTCATTGCAAATTGGAACTAGGGGTCTAGAGGATTCAACCGTTGATTGGATTGTGTGATGTTAAGAGATGATATATATATATATGTACATAAATAGTTATGAGTAGGGACTATGTGGGAGGGCGGGGGTTCAGGGATTCCTGGACTATCGACGCAATTTTGGAGGGCGGGGGCTCAGAGACGTATGGGCTAGCGACGCAACTGTGTGGTGCATGGTGCAGAGACGTTTGCATTCGACGCAGATTTGGAGGGCGGGGGTACAGAGACATACTATACTAGCGATGCAAGATATGATATATATCCATATATGGAGATGCGGGGTGTGTGGTCTAGCTATGCACTATCAGCGCATTGTTGGTTCTGTGTGATGCCTTAAGTGTCTTGATTGTTCATGTTAGAGCTAAACTTTCATAGCTGGAGTTCTATTTACTCAAGTCAGTTTTTTTGCGTGGTTAGCATCTCATAACTCACTGAGTGACTCCCCTGTTACTCACTCCTCTTTCTTCCCCCATTTCAGGTGATACTGACAATTAGGAGTGATCATTTCGGACTGGTGCTTTTGGGAGTTTTATCTATCTATTTTTCATACTTATGTTTTTATCGATATTTTGAGATTTATTATGTTACTTAGATTTATGGAGTTTTGAGATGATTTCTGCGATTTAATATATGGAGATTTCATACATTTTATTTATTTTATTATTTTGGAAAATACGGGTGTTACAGTTGCATTGTGATTTTGTAAACTGAGGGTTCTTGGGATTGAAGAAGCTACAGCTTTGGTTGTTGTTAAAATTTTAAAGATTGTTTGTTTTGGCATTTGGATCTTTATCAGGGTTTGATTATGAACATATATTCGTCATTGCTGTGAGACGCATGTGGAAGACGTTCAGATCCTCTTTTGATTGCTGGACCATTGTTACTTGATGTACAACTACTCTGTTCTGATGGCTACAACGGAAAGTTATTTGGTTGCTAGCACTAACTGAGGCTGTCTACGTCTATCAGGCAGAGTTACCAGTATGGTTCTCAAGGACGGTACAACTAGAGCACTTGTTGTTGTCCGGCTTGTGTCGTGCCAATTTGCTATGGAACTTAGGTCTTCCTTAGAGAATCCATATCACCTGGAAACGTTAGCTGTCATTTTCAACAGGTCCACCAAGATGTAAACTTTCTTTATGTTTGTGGAGTGGTTTGATTCAAGATTGAAACTTTTGCTGATGAAATAGAGATTTATTAGGCTACAAAATGTTCATTGTGCATTGGCAGGGAAAAATGCCTACGTAAACTTCAGTTGTAAGTAACACTGGTGGTGCTATGGGGATGAACATGGTAACCAAAGGTGTGCATAATGTTATTGAGTTCCTCACCTATGATTTTCCTGACATGGATGTTTTCGGAATCTCTGGTGAGTTTTCTTTGTATATTATTGGTTTGATTTAACATTTTCTTTTAGCTTAGTGTCGTTTTGATATTTAAAAAGTCTAGATTTATTGGTCAGCTAACTTCTTCTCGGACAGCAAACCTATTGCGGTGAACTGGATCAAGGGACGTGGCAAATCAGTAGTTTGGGAGGCAGTAATCATAAGAGAGATCGTGAACAAGGTGTTGAAAACGAGTGTGGCTGCCTTTGGTGGAGCTCAATATGCTCAAGAACCTCACTGTCTAATGTTGTTGCAGGCTCTCTAGGTGGATTCAACGCTCATGCCAACAACATAGTGTTTGATGTATTCATAGATGTGGGCAATAAGATCCACAATCAAAAATTTGATTGATATAAAAGAAGTTTAGGGAAACGGTGGGAAAAGTTTTTATGTGAGTTTATTTTAAAGATAGTTTGCACGAACTACACTAGAATATATTGAATAAAATAAACTTGTGAATACACTAGAAACAAAGTGCAAGAGAACAAAGTAATGAAAGAATAGTGTAGATCTCGATTTAGAGTGTGTGTCTCAGATCCTCTTTATCATGGTTAGGCCTGGGCAAAAAGATCAAACCCGAAAATCTGAACCGAATCTGACCTGATAAAAAGGAATCCAAACCGATCTTAACCCGATATAAATACCGAAGGGATCATGTTTTACGGTATTTTGGGTTATGGCTTTTACCCCAACCGGATCTGAACTTAAATGGATATCCGAAAGAACCCAAAACTTTAAAATTCCAAAACAAATTGTACCATACTCAATCTTAATTTCTAATATGTTTTCAAAATACATTAAGATATTATTAAATACATACAATAATTAGTTATTACATAGATAATTAATGTAAATAATTAGTCTAATATATAATTTTATCGGTTGATATTTATGTTTATGTTTGATATTACATTTGAAGTTTGTTTACGAATAAATTTGTTTGGAACTTTAAATAATATTGTTTCTTTAAATCTTAACTAATATTTCTTACGTTTATATATTTGCTAGTTGTTAAATTTAATTTTTTATGTTTATTATGTATGATTTTCTTGATATAAGGCTTTGCTTTGTCATTAATCATGATAAGTTTAGCATTGTCACATATAGTTCAATGACAAATCTTATATAGTTGATTGACGAGTTTCACAATATTATTTTGAAGAATAACAATATGGTTGTGTTTCAAAAAAAAATATGGTTTGAAGAATCTAAATACACAGATTTATTAAAATGATTGTAAATATATTGAGTTAATTTGGGTATAAATTAGTATTTTTAGAACTGATAACCAGATTAGTATCCAAAATCGAAACTATTTTGGAGTTCAACCGGATCTTGGACATGTTACTAAACCCGAACCGAATCCGGCCCGAATTTTTATAGTATCCGAATTGGGAATTGGGCTGAAATTCATGAACCCGAAACCCGAATGAACCAGAACCAAAATTTGATTGGGACCCTGATTGTCCAACCCTAATCGTGGTATTAAATTGATATGTCATATTTTTTGTCCTCCAATTTTTTTTTAATTATTAAATACTAATATTTGGATATATTAATCAATTTTATTCTTTTAACGATGTGCAAAATATGAAACAGATCAATTACTAAGTGTAGCCCTATCAACAATGTAAAGTATCCATTATTATTAGTACAAATCGATTGATCCGGAAATGTAGATGGAAAATTTGCTCCTATATCTATAAAAAATCACAAATATACTATCTAAACCAAAACCCTACTTTCTCTCCTTATTTATCTTCCTATCTCTCTCTAACTTCTCACTAAAATTCTAGTTATTTTTTTTTTGGTTATTTGGCAAATAAACCCAATGTCGAAAGCAAAGAAAAAAAACAAACTGAATGAAATACGCCATATATAGTCATTTGTCCGTTTATAATTAATAAAGCATAATCTTATTGCCTTTACTAAGCTGAAAAGTAATATACTTTGAAGAAAAAAATAACATCAGATTACCAGCATTGTTTAACTATGAGTCACCACCAAAAACTCTGTTACGCAAATCCGTCTGGGACACAATCACCGGCAACAGCTCTGAGACAGTTGCAGATATGTGATTCATCTTCTCCCTTAGCTGACTTGTCTTGTTCCCAGTTTGCACAGTCGCAGCTAAGAAAGCGTCGTGTTATGTTCTTCGAAAGCATTTCTTTGAAGCATTTCTTCTTTGCGTGATAGCCGCAAAGTCCAGGAAATGGGATTTGATCATAACAGTCCCCGTCTATTTTTATCAACCAAAATATATTGTTAGTTTATAAGAAAAAAATTAGAATTTTACGATTAGTCATGGGGGTTCATGTTCTGGAACATTTTTTTCTTTTAGACTCTTCTTTGCTCCTTTTTTTCTTTCAAACATCATTTTCGTTGATGTTAACAATTAATTAAAATGAATAATGTAATTACCTTTACCGTGACTCAGAATGAAACATATGGAAACACAAGATAGCATAACCAACGTTGTACCCTTCATGATTCAAAATTTGATAAAGATTGTCTCTGTGACTTGGGAAAAAAACTTGTCTATCTTGCTCAAGTAACAAGTGTAGAACTTTTTGGTGTCGATACTTGTAATATATTCTAACCAAAACCCATTGTTCTTGTTTATATAAACACAAAGTAAAAAACCATTATTCCGAGTTTATTTGAGAGAAAGAAACATAAGGATTAAGTCAAGTCAACTAGATCGGCGGAATCGGTATTCAAGTTTAGAAACATTATTCTTAGTAAACTTCACTTTTCTTTATAAAAATGTTTTTGAGTGTTTTTTTTTTTTATGTGCAAACCTGGTCGCCATTAATTAAACTTGAAGATCCTTACAAGAGTTTAGAGCTTTTACAGCTCCATTAGCATTACAAACTGCCAACTTGGTCGCTAAACAGGAGTTTAAAATACTTAAGATAAATGAACAACATAACTTCAATTGCCAAGCTTCATGAAGAATCCTGTGAGACCAATGTGATTGTTGAACGAGTTTTGCCGCATCACGAGTGTCGTGAGCGTCTCGAACTGGTTACTGAAATAGTTTGGATGAACTCTGTATTTGTGTTATTGATATCGTAGCATTAAGGCTGTATTTATAAAAAGCATAAGCTCCTAAGTCGATAAGGACTTGGAGAAGATATATCCTAACAAATAGCAAAACATGTGTATATCGTATTCTAAGTAGGACTTATCCAATACGTCCCCTCAAGATGGAAGTGTAAGATTCTGAACAGCCAACTTGGACAGCAAGAAATCAAACTGAGGTCTAGGAAGTGACTTAGTAAGGATGTCAGCCAACTGATTCTTCGAAGAGACACGTTCTGTAACAATTAGACGCGACTTAACAGCATCCCGAACATGATGACAATCCCGCTCAATATGTTTTTTCCGTTCATGAAAAATTGGATTAATTTGCTGCGATGTAAAGGGCAGGCGTACTATCACAATGGAGGCGCATAGGAGCTGAGTGATGGATGCCAAACGACTACAACAAGCCTTTCAACCACTTGAGTTCTTTAAGAGTCTCTGACATTGACCTATATTCTGCTTCGGCCGAGGATAAGGATAGTGTATCCTGCTTCTTTGTACGCCAACAAACAGGAGTATGACCAAGAAATATGATGTATGCTGATAAGGATCATCGGGTAATAGGGCAAGACGACCAATCTGAATCACAAAAGGCATTTATCTGAATCGGATCATTAGCTTTGATGAAAATACCTTGACCAGGGGAGCCTTTTAAATAGCGAACTACACGAAGAGCAGCTTCCCAATAAGGCATGAATGGTTTCTGTATGAATTGTGCCAAAATATGAACCACATTAACTTATATAACTTTTTAATCAAATAAATGTTATGAATTTTTCTTTTTTAAAATATATCAAATCAATCTATATTTATTTATGTTTTAATTTGAATTTACAAATAATTATTTGTAAAAATTAACTTAATTATTATTAATCTTTTTTTTTTAACACCAAAATGATTATATTAAAACTAAGGACCCAGTGGGCTAAATTGATTACAATCAAAGAATAAAGCGACGATAAACCAATAGATGACACTAACTAAAACAAGGCAGATGATAGATAGAGCTAAGGAGAGAAGAGACCCGTAGAAAAAAATTCACTTGTAGTCCTAAAGCCAGCGTTCGAAAAAAAACGCACAAACGTCAAAAACGATTTTGAAGAATCCAATCAATGGATTTTGAGAACAATTGGAACTAGGGGTGGGCATTTTATTCGTTAAATTTGATTCAATTCGTTATTCGTTTCGATTCGATCCGAAAATTCCGAATATCCATAAACTTTCGAAGCAAATCAAATACTTAAACTCAATATTCGCTAAAATCGAAGCAAATCACAAATACTAAAATTTTGGGAAGCAGATATCCGATCTGATCCGGCAATATATAAATACATGTATATCTTGATTATATTTAGAGTTTTAAATGTATAAAATTTTATAATTATCATTATAATATATGGTTTGACAAATTTTATTCACATTATTACTTATATAAAAGTATTACATAAAAAGAAGAGAAAACATTTCTGAAAATTATAATTTCTTTTTTAAGTTTTATGCTATTATAATTGTTAACTAAGTTTAAAAAATTTACAAAATATGTAGATTCGCTACTTCTTTTAATTTTTATCTTTTATATCATGCAAAAAAAAAAATATTTTACAAAACAAATTTGTATCAAAATTTTAAGATTGTTTACCTTAATCCAAACATATTAGATATCCGTAAGTATTCGTAAATATCCGCAAATATCTATTTATTTTTCGGATATCCGTTTTTCTGAATATCCGTATTTTACCGAAGCAAAGCAAATCGAAAAACTAGATATCCGTGACATACAAAGAAAATCACAAATACCTTCAAAAACCCGGATATCCAATCCGTGCCCAGGCCTAATTGGAACCCGTCTTTGAAGATGCATAGAAGATCTCCTGACAATGCGGTGGAGTATGGAAAAGCTGCCGGAGTAGGACTACACACAGAGTCGGGATCGGTACAGCATCATTGGAAAGGAAGCATAAGCAGAAGCCCAAGCCCACCTCACACAAGTTAATTTGATTGAGAATCAGGCCCATTCTAGATGCATAAGCCCAGGCCCGTGTGATATCTTCAGAGCAAGAGATTAGGGTTTTCTTGGTTACCAGAACCAAACAACAGTGGACGGCGGGTGGGGGAGTACCAACCTGTAAACGACAACACTTTCCAGCGTAAGTCTCGGAATGGCGGAAATCGCGAGGGGATATAGCAACCGTGTAAAGGGGAGTTATAGGAGAGGTGACTCGGATCCCATTCTCATCGGAGTAACTGTCGACGGCTGAGCAGAGAGCAACACGAGATGGACGCGGCAAGGCACGGAACTCGTCGGAGACGTCGACGAAACTAGTTGGAAGCAAGCCGAGGATGTCACTTGAGGACCTGGTTTCGTCGATCCCATTCGAGGCTCTGACCACGAGCTTTACGAAGGGGAGAGTTTCTTGCAGCAGGTGCGGGACTCCGGCGGAAGGCTTCATCCTAAATGCTTGAGGATAGTCGTAGTTAACGGATCTGGAGTAAACGTTCGAGAAACCAAGGCGAAGTTGCCGGAGAAGATAGTAGATGTTATGGAGAGAGGAGAAGCAAGCAAACCATGTGATGACGTGAGGAGCTGATGAGCCCGCAGAGTCGAGTGGAGCAGTAGAGGCGGTGAGAACAAAGGACGCGGCGACAATGAGGATGAGATGAACAGCGGTGAGAAGATGAGACGGTGACATGAAGCAAACGTGAAACAACAACGATGGACTTTGTGGAGAGCGGGACAGAGACGAAAGGCGACGCCGGCGAGCTAAGTCGCCGCCGGCGTCGGAGAAAGCAAATGAAGGCGGCGTCTAGAGAAGCGTGTCAGGGAGCGTTTTTGAATAACTAATTATTATTAATCTAAATATTAATTTTATACTTGTCTATTAGTGTGAGAATTCGAACATCCCATAATTTTTTTAGTTTTATAGAATTTATCCTAAATGACGTTGTTTTGATAAATTAAAAACTAACATCTTTGATGATCAATATATAAATATAAGTAAAATTTTAAGAGTTTGCATTGTATTTTTAAACTAATTTACAGAATTTATAAAAAATGACGTTGTTTTGATAAATTACCGGATGTGTAACATCTTTGATGGTTAATATATATATATAAGCACGATTTTGCAAGTTTATGTAGTCTTTTTAAATTTCTGTTTTAGAAAACTTATTGAAACTATTGTCGTTTTGATAAATTAATGGATGACTAACAAATTTGATGGTTTATATATATAAGCACGATTTTGAGAGTTTATGTAGTATTTTTATACTTTTATGTAGTTTAGTGTGGAATATGCACTGTTATAAAGTTCGGGAATGAAAAGACACGATGAGTAAAGTTTAGGTAGTATTTTTTAAGTTTTTATTTATTTCAGTATGAAATGCGCACTACAACAAAATTCGGGAAGGAATATGCACGATTGGTAAAGTTCAGGTTGAAATAGATTTTTTTCCCAAAGAAAACACAAATATACTATCTAACCAAAACCATAATTTCTCTTCTTATTTCTCTTCCAATCTCTCTCTAACTTCTCACTAAAATCTAATTATTCTTTCTTTTTTTTGTTATTTGGCAAACAAGCCCAATGTTGAAAGCAAACAAAAATAAAGTAAAACAAATTGAATGAAATACGCCATATATAGTCATTAGTCCGTTTATAGTTAATAAAGCATAATCTTATTGCCTTTACTAAGCTGAAGAGTAATATAATTTGAAGAAAAAAACTAACATCAGATTACCAGCATTGTTTATCTATGAGTCACCACCAAAAACTCTGTTACGCAATTCCGTCTGGGACACAAACACCGGCAACAGCTCTGAGACAGTTGCAGATATGTGCTTCATCTTCTCCCTTAGCTGATTTGTCATGTTCCCTGTTTATACAGTCGCAGCTAAGAAAGCGTCGTGTTATGTTCTTCGAAAGCATTTCTTTGAAGCATTTCTTCTTTGCGTGATAGCCGCAAAGTCCAGGGAATGGGATTTGATCATAACAGTCTCCGTCTATTTTTATCAACCAAAATATATTGTTAGTTTATAAGAAAAAAAATTAGTATTTTACGATTAGTCATGTTCGGTTCATGTTCTGGAACATTTTTTTCTTTTAGACTCTTCTTTGCTCCTTTTTTTTCTTTCAAACATCATTTTCGTTGATGTTAACAATTAATTAAAATGAATAATGTAATTACCTTTACCGTGACTCAGAATGAAACATATGGAAACACAAGATAGCATAACCAACGTTGTACCCTTCATGATTCAAAATTTGATAAAGATTGTCTCTGTGACTTGGGAAAAAAACTTGTCTGTCTTGCTCAAGTAACAAGTGTAGAACTTTTTGGTGTCGATACTTGTAATATATTCTAACCAAAAACCATTGTTCTTATTTATATAAACACAAAGTAATAAACCATTATTCCGAGTTAATTTGAGAGAAAGAAACATAAGGATTGAGTCAACTCAACTAGATCGGCGGAATCGGGATTCAAGTTTAGAAACATTATTCTTAGTAAACTTCACTTTTCTTTATAAAAATGTTTTTGAGTGTTTTTTTTTTTTATGTGCAAACCTGGTCGCCATTAAATAAACTTGAAGATCCTTACAAGAGTTTAGAGCTTTTACAGCTCCATTAGCATTACAAACTGCCAACTTGGTCGCTAAACAGGAGTTTAACATACTTAAGATAAATGAACCACATAACTTCATTTGCCAAGCTTCATGAAGAATCCTGTAGAGACCAATGTGATTGTTGAACGAGTTTTGCAGCATCACGAGTGTCGTGAGCGTCTCGAACAGGTTATAGAGCTCAAAGGTTGAGGGTGTTAGAGACTCTGTATAGGAAGAAAATGATGGTAAATGTCTCTCCATGGAGGAGAATGATCTCTCCCAGCCTCGATGGGAGGAAGTTGGTATATAAACTTTTCCAAAAAGAATAAGTCTAAGAGGCTTAGTCTTTCAAGCAAATATGAGATTAGATCTGGGTTGGGGTTTTTTTGAATTTGATTATTGTTATCATATCAGTGGTTTCTTTTTTATTGTTTTGGGCTTTATTATTTTCAAATAATCTAAACTTTTTATTCCTGATCCTATTACGTAAACTTAAAATCTTGATTCATCAATAACAATACGAAATTTGTATTAGTGACTACCACAACAACAAATCGTAACTATGATATATATAGTGATTCTGTGAAGACTGTGATTACGCCGCAAACTATTAGCCTTGAGATATTTAAGTGATGGTTTAGTCTCGGTACAATTTTGTACATGTAATCTCGGTTTAGATGTCACAAATCTATTTGGATTCAGATATGCATGTATATGAGCGATGATCAAGCCACAAATCAAAACTTTATACTCAAACACATTTTTAACATACCAACACATCTAACCAAATGTATAGTCTTTAATCTCCAATATTTCGCATCAGAAAATATGAATGCCAATTTGCACAAAATTTCAAAAATCCAAATTCATTCGTTGGTTGTAAACAAAAAAAAAACAACGAATGCCTCTTCCATTCAGAGAAGCATAAAGGCACAAACTCTAATCAAACAACTGATATCTAGATATAACATTTCCATACATACGTACATGAGCACATATATGGAGCATATAGTTATTATGTTAACATTCGTACGTATTTGTCCAAAAAAAAAAACATTCGTACGTAAAAGTATTAAACATTGTCGTCAAATTTATAATCTCTTACAACGGAAGAAAATTTTCCAGTACATATATTCAAAAACTTTACTGAAGGTAAAGACTACACCTTTTAAATAAGCCTATAGAAATCAAACTTTGTAGCATGCATGAGTAAAAACTTTAAAACAATGACAAGATCGTGGTATCTAATGAAAAAAGGTTTCAGAAATCACAATCAATATTGAATACGTGAATAACACTTTGATTCTCAAAACCGTACGAAGTTGACATCATCAAGAATCCAAGATTGCAAATATATGTACAGTTCTTTAATATTCAAATGCTAATTAATTTTGACGCTAAATTTATGGTTCTCATAGAAATGCATGTGTTGGGGAGAATTTATTATAAGGAGATGAAGAGTGAGAAGACACAATGAAAAAACATAATTTTGGATGCACAATATCAAATGGTAATTTATCAATCATCTTATTAGTTCGCGGCAAAGTTACAAACCCGTTACAATTGTCAATTGTGAAGTTCATAAGGAGCTTACTAAAGACATGGATTATCAGCAAAAGAAGTTTTTGTTTTAGTTTCGGTGACAAGTTTATAAAAAACTCATGGTTCATTTTCAAACATCGCATCAAAAAACCTATTTTCTTTCATTTAATGATTAGATTTTTTTTTGGACACCACATACTTATATTAAAATTAAAGACGTGTTGGACAAAATCGATTACAACCAGATCATTGACGGTGACGAAAAGAACTAAAAAAAGATGAAAGATAGACAAGGCTAAGGAAAGAACAGATCCAAAGAGAAATTTCACTTGTAATCCTAAAGCCTGCATTCGGAGGAACGCACATGCGTCAAAATCGACTTTGAAGAACCCAACCAATGGATTTTGAGAACAATTGAACCATGTCTCTAAAGATGCCTGGATCGCTGGAGGAAGAGGTCTTGGTTGAACTTCAATGGACACTCCTTGTAAAAGACTAGGTGGGTCGGAGGCCACTGGAGACGGGGAACATGCCCAAAAGAAAGCGGTCAACTTGAATGATGCATAACAAAGAATGGGGACATAGGGCAGTTGCGGGGCGATGGTGGTGACTTGCAATGACAGAGATTGGGCCATAAAGAGAGGAAACCACGGAGACACGAGTCTGACTCGAGATAGAGGCGGCAACAGAGTCATGTGTAGTAGCCGACAACTCGTCTTTAATGCTTCTGCAGATGTTGAGATCCTGAATCTAACGAACAAGGGTCTCAACGTGCCAGTGAAGACTCGATAAGTATGAGTACGGCTTGAACAAGACATCCGAGATCCTATGTTAAAGATAGCAGCTCCGGTATGCAGGTCGCGTAGTTGACTATGTGAATAACCATTGATGCTTGAGATGGCGTAATGTGATGGAGACGCAACGATAACATGATATCAAATAGATATGACGAAACCACACTCTTACACAATAGTTCCAGCGACGAGGAAGGGGTGATACAGCCACAGAACCGACTATGTGAAGAACCGTCGATGCTTTGAGACGGTGTAATGTGATGGAGACGCTTCAATGAAATATCAGCGAGCACTGGCGAAACCACATTCTTGCACAGTAATCAGGCGGCTGGTGGGAGGAGAAGAATTAATCGATGTAACTTAGCTCCATAGAAACCTTGGCAAGATAGGACTGCCTCGATGTCGAGTGAATAGACGGTGACATAAAGACCGGTGAGGCAGCAAGCGAGGGTTGGAGAGAGGCGGTGGCTGTAGTTGATGATCTAGATCCAGCGAAAAATGATTAGATAATTCTTCAATATTCTCTGATTTACTAATTTTATTATAAATTTTAGTGAGATTTTTTTTTGTTAAAAATATTTCATTTAACTATAATTTATTTAAAAATAAACACACCATTTCTTAAGATCAGATTGTATTATTAATCCTTGTGGACAAAGGATTTTAAACAATGAGAAATAACAAAACAAATATAGAAAACAGATAAACCCGTAGAGATCCAAAGTAAACTAACACAACTATTTGCGTATGG